CCCGGGGCTTGGAGGCTGCTAGTCGTCACTTGGGTGTGCCTCTTTAATAGGGCCGGGGCCTGAGGTTGGCAGGCCCAGGGCTTGGAGGCTAAGACTGCTTTTCGCTTGGGTGTGGCGCTTTATTGGGATAGGGGCCTGAGGTAGGCAGGCCTGGAGCTTGGAGGCTGTTTTTTGTTTTGGTGTGGCTCTATATTAAGACAGGGGCCTGTGATAGGCAGGCCTAAGGTTGGAGGCTGCTTTTCGTTTAGGTGTGGCTCTCTATGAAGGCCAGGGACTGAGGTAGGTAGGCCTGGAGCTTGGAGGCTACTTTTCACTTGGGTGTGGCTCTATTAAGGCCGGGGCCTGAGGTAGGCAGGTGCAGAGGAGTTAGGAACAACTAAGGGAGACCAACTTGTCTGTCAGTTTGCTGTACTGTGGTGGCTTACGTGTTACTATGAGGCTGGAAGCTATGTCACTGTGTTGCAAAATACCAGAAGGGTTACCCATGGCGGACAGGTTTCAGCAGAGCTTCTGGGCTTAGGCAGACTTGGAGAAAGGAAGAGGCCATTCACTTCTAAAAGAATTGGCCAGTGAAAACACTTTGTCTCATTAATCTGCTGTAAATGTTCACTGTTCTGGTTACCTAGAGCTGCTCTGACAAGACTATACCACAAATGGGATGGCCCTAACAAACAGGAGTTTATTCTCTTATAGTTCGGGAGGCTAGAAGTCCGAGTTCAAAGTGCCAGGCTCTGGGGGCTGTGTGAAAGCCCCTCGACCTTAGGCTTCAGCTCTGTCTTTTGTTCCTGGCCCACTGGAGCTAGAGGCATCTCTTCATTCAGGTAGCTACTGGCTGCTGAGACTAATAAGCCCAAGGTTGACAAATAAAATGGCACAGTCCCAAAGTTACCAAACCATACGGCAGGCCATTAATTCAAGTCCATTGTAATTCCCAAGGTCGGCAGAGTATGGCAGGCTGCTAAACAATGACACAGCTACATGCAGGGTCCAAGCGTGCCACAAGCTGGAGACTATTCCCCAAGGCTTCTGCTTATATACAGGAAGCAGACCACATTCCCTAAGGTAGCCACTCAGCTGCTCACAGTAGATTCCACCATGGAGTTGATTACCATTCTCATCATGGGGAATACTACATCCAGTTGCCCAGCCATTCAACCAGGCCCAGCCAAGTTGACACACAAACTGAACTACCACATTCACTGTATATGCCTGTCTACTGTTTAGTTGGAAGTCATGGAAGTGAGTTCAATTCCAGGCCTCAAGAGTGACTAGGGGCCATAGTCTTGGGGGTTTCACCAGTCTCTATCAGACTAGTAAGCCTGGTCTTTTTTATGATTTTGAGTTTTGTTCCACATTTTTTTCCTACTCTATCCAGTATTTTCTGCACTGATCCCTTTCTGAGTGCTTGACAGTGGTAGCCGGGCACCATCTAGTTGTTCTAGTCTCATGGTGATATAGGCTGAGGTTCACATGGTCCACTTGTCCTTTGGATTAATTGTTTACATGCATCTTAGGTTTTCTTCATTCTTTGCTCTGGACGAGAACGGACCAATTGTTGCATCTAGCTGGTCATTTGCAAGCTTTTAAGACCCCAGTTGCTACCCATCAAAGTAGGATGCAGAACAATGTTTTTGTGTAGTATGCTATGCCAATTGAGGTTTATGTCCCCCGCAACCACAGTCCCCAGCCCACAGGCTCAACTACTCGTTCCCTCAGGGTGGTTGGCTGTGGTGAAGAAGTTACTATAACTGCCCTCTGTTAGTTGTGCACCTCTGTGTCTTTTGTTTAGTGTTAGTGTCACTTGCTTTTGGTATACTGCCTTTCCCTTCACCCAAATCAATACTAGTTTCTTAACTATCTAGCAATTTTCCCTTCCCTCCCCACCCAGCCCACTCCTGTTTTCCATCTTCTTTTGATACTTCTTGTATCATTCAATATTTTGCCCACAGAATCCTTCAATATTGCAACTCGAGGTTTGAAATTTTTCTTCAGTTCTTTAAGCTTGAGAAATGCCAAGCATGTTCTTCCCCTTTGATTTTCCATCTCCAGGTCTTTGTACATTTTATTATAATATTTTACTTTGTCCTCTTGAGCTGCCCTATGAAATCTTCTGTTCAGATCTTTTACTTCATCCTTTCTTCCCTTTGCTTTAGCTAGTCTCCTTTCAAGAGCAAGTTTTAGACTCATTTCTTCTGACATCCATTTTGGTCTTCTCTTCCTTTCCTATCTCTTTTGCTTTCTTCATGTATGGTGTTCTTGATGTCATCCCACAACTCATCTTGTCTTCCTTCAGTCACTGGTGTTAATGCATTAAATCTGTTCTTCAGATGGTCTCTAAATCAGGTGGGATATCAGGGTCATATTTTAGCTCTCATGGACTTGTTTTAATTTTCTTCAGCTTCAAATTAAATTTGCACATGACCACTTGATGTCTGTTCCACAGTTGGCCCCTGACTTTGTTCTGATTGATGATACTAAACTTCTGCATCACCTCTTTTCACAGATGTAGTTGATTTGATTCCTATGTATTCCATCTGGTGAGGTCCATGTGGACAGCCTCTATTTATGTTGTTGAAAAAAAGTATTTGTATTGAGTAAGTCATTGGTCATGTGAAAGTCTATAACACAATCTCTGGTGTTATTTCCATTCCCAAGGCCGTATTTTCCAACTACTGATGCTACTTCTTTGTTTCCAATTTTTGCATTCCAATCACCAGTAATTATCAATACTTCTTGGTTGCATGTTTGGTCAATTTCAGACTGCAGAAGTTGGTGAAAATCTTCAATTTCCTCGTCTTTGGCTTCTGTGGTTGATGCATAAATTTGAATAATAGTTGTATTAAATGGTTTTCCTTGTAAGCATGTGGATATTATCCTATTACTGACAGCACTGTTCTTCAGGATAGATCTTGAAATACTCTTTTCGATGATAAGTGGGATGGACACAATCCCTCTTTAATTTCTCATTGGTGGCATAATAGACTATATGATTGTCTGATTCAAAATGGCCAATACCAGTCCACTTCTGCTCACTAATGCCTCTGATATCGATCTTTATGCTTTCCATTTCATTTTTGACAACTTCCGATGTTCCTAGATTCATACTCTGTACATTCCACATTCCAATTATAAATGGCTGTCTGCACCTATTCTCGTTTTGAGTCATGCCACATCAGCTTTACTCTATCCATGTCATTAAGGCTAAGTCTACTTTGAGGAGGCAGCTCTTCCCCACTTGTATTCTGAGTGCCTTCCAACCTGAGAAGCTCATCTTCCAGTGCTGTATTAGACATTTCCCTACTATCTGTAAGGTTTTCAGTGGCCAATATTTTTTCTTTTCAGAAGTGGACCTGGCCACGTCCTTATTTCTAGTCTGTCTTAGTCTGGAAGCACTGCTGAAACCTGTCTACCATGAGTGGCGCTACTAGCATTTGAAATACCAGTGGCATAGCTCCCAGAGTCAGAGCAACCCACAAACCACTGGAGAATGACAAACTGAGTCTAGTGGTAGGTACTTTCTAACAGGAGCAATTAACACAGATCATATTATGTCCTATCTTCATTACTGTGTTAAAGGGGAAAGAAACTTTTCCTGAATGTTCTCTACTCCCTAATTTTTGTCCGCTAACTGTTGGATACTCAGATACATTCCTTTCTTCCTTGCAACAAGGTCGGTACTAAGACTACTCATGATACAAATGATCTCTCTAAGAATCAGAGGTGGTAAGTATGTGCTACAAGTGACACAGTGTTCTGGCTACCTCTGTGCTGCTCTAACAGAAAATATCACACATGGGATGGCTTATTCTCTAACAGTTTGGAGGCTTTAAGTCTGAGTTAAAGTGCCAGGGTCCAGGGACTGGGTGAAAGCCCCTCAACCTTGGCCTTCGGCTCTGCCTCTTGCTCCTAGACCACTGAAGGTGGAAGCTTTTCTTCACTTAGCTGCTGGCTGCTGAGGCTGACAAGCCCAATTCTGACAAGTAATAAGGCACAGTCCTGTTGTTACCAAACTACATGGCAGGCTATTAACTGAAGTCCATGAAAGGTCCCAAGGTCAGGAGAGCACGGCAGGCTGCTGAACAATGACATGGCTACATACAGAGTTCAATCATGCCATAAGCTACAGGCTGTTTCTAAGGCTTTTCTTTATATACAGAAAGGAGATCATATTCCTAAGGCAGCTACTCAGCTGCTCACAGTCGATTCGACCATAGAGTTGATTGCCACTCTCATCAGGGGGAATACTAGATCCAGCTGCCCAGGCACTAAACCAGGCCCAGCCAAGTTGACATATAAACTTAACTACCACACACAATAATGACAGAATTGGAATTTAAGCCCAGATTTATCCGATTCCAAATTTTTGCCTTTATGCATCCTTCCTCATTTTAAAATTATTGTCTAGATTTTAAAAATCTTATTTTGAAATCATTTCAGACTTACAAAAAAGTTGCAAAAGTAAAAATAATTCCAGAATACCCTTAAAATTCCACAAATGTTAACACTACTTCTGCTTCATCCTTCTCTCTCCATACATCATTTTTTTCTGAACTATTTAAGTTATAGGCATGATCCCCTTATACTCCTAAATATTTCAGTGTTTATTTCCTTAGAAAATAAAAAAAAAGGCTCACATAACCAAAGAGATGAACAAAATCAGAAAATTAACACTGAATACTATTATCTAATCTATAGACCTTACTGGTTGAGATTACCAACTGTTCAGTAATGTCCTTTAATGGTATAAGAAATTCCAAAATTATAATTGTTATAACTTGTGATGTCTCTTTAGTCTCCTTTAATCAGTTATTATATAGTTTAAATTCTAATGGCTTTATACCAAAGCCCAATTTATCTGTTTAGATTGTTGCAGGTACCCATACCATTTACTCTCTGAGGTCTTATTTTTTGAAATAAACAATCTCAATTCACTGATCATAAATATCCTTTCCCATAATAAGTATTTTATTGGAGACGTATGTAAAAGTTCAGAAATTTACCTTTTGTGTCAGGATGTATCCAGGATGTCGCACAATTAATTTTCAAAGGGCAACCATCAAAAACTTTTGAAAAACATGCTCCCATCTTATTTATAAAAATAAAAATATTGATTTATTAATTTTACATATTAGAAAATAATAGTGAAATGCCAAACTTATTTGTACATACTTGTGGTTTCATCAAAAAATAAAATTAATATTTTGATGTAATTTAACCCCTTCAATGAAGGGAGTGTGATATTCTTTCCTTTTGTAGATTATTATTTTGGGGAAAAAAACATCAACTATACCAAAATCTACATATTTCAATGATACATCCTAGGACTTTTAACCTACTATTTTCATTAGGACTAACATATATTAATATGAAACAATGGATGATTTTATTCAATAACATTATAGTAATTATAATCATGGTATAATTCCATAGTAGTGATAACAGATAAAAAGACTTAATATTTATGATATATATCTGACTTTTATGAAATAAAAAAATATAATTTTTAAAGTGCCCCATTCACATGCTTAGCTGAACCACTTCACGGATGGGTAGTACTCAAAGACCAGAGAACAAGCATTAACATAAGCTTCTTGCTCCTTTCTATTGTGTGTAATCTAATGTGAAAACAGCTTCATCGGTAGTAAGATAGTTAACCCACATAATGAAAATGCCACATTGCTATTAGTATCATCATATAAAAATAAAATTAGCCTTTGTAGTCTGCCACTATTTATATGAAGTAAAATCCAAACTCACCAAATGCACTGCCATTGAGTTGATTCCGACTCATAGCGACCCCCTCTGGGTTTCTGAGGTGGTATATTTTTACAGAAGTGGATTGCCCCATCTTCTTTCCATGGAGCAGGTGGTGGGTTTGAACCGCCAACCTTCTGGTTAGCAGTCAAATGCCTTAGGCACCAAGTCACCAGAGCTCCTTAGAAGTAAAATACTCTCTAAATTTTAACGATGCACTCAAATTAGAATACATGACCTGACCCACTGTATATCCAAGAGCATCTAATGCCTTATGTTATAACACAGTCTACTGTTTCGGTTTGTATTTTATGACACTCTTCCTTTCAATGGCTCAAGATACTTAATAGTGAAAAAACAAACTTAAAATGCTTCTAAAGATTTTAAAGAGATAAAAAATGGCAAATGGTTCACATAAAAATATTACTTACCAGTACTTTTGGGGTGGGTGGAAGGCCATTGATGATGGGTTTCTGTGGGAAAAATAATTTTTTAAATACTTTAAGACCTCCTAAACCTTAAAAAAAAAAATGCACATCCAGAAATTCAGTTATTCGAATTCTTAAATAATTACTACCCTTGTATGATACAGAATTAGTTGTAACTATACCTACAGGGAAGTCTCGTTTGTCTTTTTTTCGTGGCAACTGTGGTGCTTGTGCCGATCCTTCTGTATTTTCACTCATCAGTTTTGAAATACCATCACCATTTCCTAAAGGGAATCATGTTTAAAAGTCAAATGACTACACAGGTAAGAACATTTTTCTTGAAAATAACTTACCCTCTCCCCTATTACTTGTTTTCTTTTTAGGTAATCCTTTTTTGGAAATACTCTCAGATGAGTTCATTTATCTTTGGCCTTTCTTTAGCTTTTGTAGAGGTAGCATTGCATTTTTAGCAGTGGTCTTGATGCATGCAAGTAACTTTCTTTCCATATTGTGAGGAAAATAAAATATCATCTATTGACAACAATATTCAAAAGCCCTTGTATAACTGAACTGCAATCTACCTTTTCAGTCCTGACTCTCAGTATACACCCTTCCCAAGCTCACACTTTGCCATACTAGACTGTATTTTAAACAACTCATATTTTCCTGCTAAAGAACACACGTATATTTCTTCTTATTCTCCACGAATGTCTTTCAGAGTGGCTCCATCTACTGAAGACTGCCTAAACCCTTTACAACCCTGCAAGAAGCCCATCTCCTTTAGTCTCTACACTATCTCCCTCGGAAATCTTCAATGTACCATTACATATAGTTAATTATTGTAGGAGACAAGCTGACTTGGTCTAATGTTATGTGTACAGATCATGCTACAGATCTTGAAGTTCTGGAGAGCAGGAACATTCATTCATCTTTCTAGATCTTCTAAGTTTTACTTAAGGCATCAAATCAGGGTTGAATTATTTACAGCCCACTCATGTGGAATTAAAGAACCTTCACAAAGATTTCAACAGTAGTAAAACTTACTTTAAAAACAAAAATACATTTCTTAAATAGGTACAAAATGGCTTTCTTTTCAACATTCACTTTGTTTTATTTACCCAGGTCACAGTATCTAGCTGTATGTACTCCAGGACTGTGGACACTGATAGCCATACCAATAGAGGAAGTCTCTACTGCAGCACCACAACTTGGGCTACTCTGTCTTCTGAGAAGTTGAGGAGCTCTGTTCTCTGAATCAGGGCAATATTTTATGGTTGATGATTTTTCTTCATCTGGGAGATTGTCTTCAGGGTAATTGTTTATCCTTGGCTATGGATGATAAGACAAAAAAAACTAATATTTTCCACCTTTGTAATCCCTCACCGGAAGAAAACTGTATTCATCTAAAATATATAGTAGAGAAATCTGAACAAATTTAATGAAACTATTTGAAAAATTTCAAATACTTAGGTAGCTCACCTTAGGAGGCAGGGGAGGTGGTACTGCACGTTTTGAGGTTGATCTAATACAAAGAGAATAATGTAATTTAGATGGTGATAAATTACCATAAAATAAAAAAAAAGGGACAGCTCTGGTGGTGTAGAACCTAAAGCACTACACTGCTAGTGACTGTCAACCAGAAGGCTACTGGTTCAAACCTACCAGCTACTCCTTGGAAGGAAGATTGGGCAATCTACTTCCGTAGAGATACCATCCCTCAAGGAGGGGTTGCTATGAGTTGAATTGACTCAATGGCAGTGAGTTTGGTTTGGTTTGGTATTAAATGTGCATTAAAATCTGTTTATATTCAAAAGACACAAAAGACAAATAAATTATAATAAAGAGTTTAAAACCTTAAGCTTACTAGTAAAAAACAGATTCAGGTTTTTAGAGTTGGAATCCAGAGAGAATCATAGTTGCTAAAGGCTTTAAATATTATTAAATCTTTTGCTACTTAAACACTGTGGTCTTCAAACCAGAAACAGTGGTATCACCTGGGACCTTTTATGAATGTAGCCTCTAGACTCACAGAGTTATAATCCACATTTTAATAAGATCTCTAGGTAACCAACAGGCAGACTAAAATTTGAAAAGCATTTATCTAGCCCTCAAAGAAGCTTGGTGACACAGTCGTTAAATGCTTACTTACTAACAGAAAAGTCAGTGGTTTGAACCCACCAGTAGCTTCACAGGAGGAAAATGTGCCAGTTTGCTTCCATAAAGATTACAAGCTTAGAAACCTTATGGGGGCGGCTCTATTTTGTCCTATAGGATTGCTATGAGTTGGGAGTTGACTCAATGGCAACAGTTTTGGGTTGGTTTGGCTGATTTAGCCCTCTGGTCCCAAGCACTAATCCACAATCAGTGCAATCAACTCGGATGCTTTCTGAATTCTTAGACTCCAGTCTCAAATATTGTATTCTGTAGTAGGCATTGGCAAACTTTTTCTACAAAAGGCTAGATAGTAAATATTGTAGGCTTTGTAACCATACAGTGGTTCCAACTGCTTAACTACGCTGCTGTACTGTAAAAGCAGCTACAGATAATACTTATACAAACAAACATGTCTGTGTTTTAATGAACCTTTATTTACACATGATGAAATCTGAATTTCACATAATTTCCATGTCTTACAAAATATTATTCTTCTTTGATTTTTTTTTAACCATTAAAAAATGTAAACACCATTCTTAGCTTGCAAGCTATATAAAAATAGGCGGAAGGCTAGATTTGGTCCAAGGTGGTAATCTGCTTATACCAGATCTAAAGACCTATGTGGGGGTCTAGGAATCTGTATCTCTAAAGAGATCTCTGGACAATTGCAATGCACAAATAGATTTGGACAACTTCAGCCCTCTCAATTACTGAGGAAGACAGTTCTAGAGATACAAAGTAACTACACTGTAGAGATGAAATTGGGGCTTTTGATTCCTACAGAATATTTTTCCCCATTGTACCATGCTATTCAGGTACAGTACAATTTTTCAAAGAATGTACATGAAAGTTTATCAGAATAAATCACTCCTCCCACCCCTCAAAATAAAATTCTTATGTATTTAAGTGAAATATTGTTCTTAACTTAGAAAACAACCTACTTGCCAGTATTTGTACCATCAACAAAAGGATTCCACTGTAATACAAAGTTTGGGTCTGATGATACTCCCTGTGATGATAAAAAAAAATATTGTTTAAAATGCTACCTTGTAGCAGATATTAACCATTTTATTCTAGTCAATAAACTACTGCAGTATCATGATTGCTAATCATCTTGGCACTCAATCATTTGACATATGTAGGTCAGTGACTCTTTATTAGTTGACTTTAACTTGAGAAATTCCATAAATGTACTAAATATAGTTTGCAATGTGACATATCCTCTTTACCAATTTGCTAGTATATTACAAGGCTAAACAAAGAAACCATCACAACTTCATTACCCTGGAGAACTAAACATCATATTATTAAATTTTAGCATTAATGTATTGGTACTACTACTTTTTCCTACTAGCATAGAAATTGAGGATTTATTATACAGCCATATACACAGTAAGAAGAGTACTAATTACAAACATCAAGTATGAAGAGATCCCTTAACAGAAAACAATTACTCTAGAAGCTAATCTTTCAATAAAGCCTAAAAATAAATGAGATGTTAAGATAACATCAAAAGCAGTGAACATTGTACACAGCAAAATTCTTACAAAACAAAATTTAACAGTAAATTCTCTGCTAAAATTACATTTTATAATGAAATACCAGTAGTTGAAATCGATTATTTAAAAACGAAGACAGAAAAAAACAACTATGATGGTGCAAATACATAAAATCTACATAGGCTGACTGATCTATTACTTGTTTCCTTTTAGGTAAGGAAAAGATTAAACAGTGATCTCAAAATAAGTATAACGGTTAAAAAAAATTAAGTGACATTAACAAACAAAATTAATACTTTCAAAGAAAAAAACAGTAAGGCATTATAAAATTATAAAATCTATTACAAACCTAACCGATCCACAAGAACAAAGGTCCTAAGAGCTAAAGCTAAGCATCAAAAGTTATTTAATAACTTCACGTAAATTCTTTAAAAGACTCAGGAGGGGTCAAAATTAACGTCTGAAAGGCTGTATTACATTGCACTCTAGTCCAAGTACTACATGTTTTCTCACATTCTGATGTATGAAATACTTTAAAAGTCACAATTCCTACCATTTCATCCCGTGCTTCTGTTTCTTTTCTCAAAGGTGGTTCAAACTGTAATTTGTCAACTGAAAAATATAGAAGACATATTCACAAACTCAGTATCTTAAAAGGTTAACCTCAGAAATGTAGTAGTAAGTATGCCTATGTGTAGGAAGAAATGGGAGTAAAGAGAAAAGGGAAAGATGAAAAGAGGAAATCTTTTTTTTTTTTTTTACTAGCTAAGCACCCCTTTCTTTATGCTTACCAAAACAAAGTAATAAACTGGAACGTTCATAATATCTCTGCTTAATGCTTTATTGAAGTCAGAAAATTACATAGCACATTTTATGTAAAATAATTTTTTAAAAATTATTAGAAGTATACAACTAAGGAAAAAATGTGAGAATTTTCTCTATCTAGGCTGCAGACTATTTTGAGACTAAATTAAGCTACTAATTTCAGGGCAGACACGAATTGAGAAATACTCCCTATAAACTACTGAAAGAACAAATAATTTTTGTCAAGTTAAATATTATAATGGTATTCAGGAATCTGATATTTTTGTAAAACGTGTATTTTATTTGGCCCAGTCAGATTTATTTCAGAATTATTTAAAATATTCAAAGAATAGTTTCTTTTACATGAAATATTTGAAAAGAGAGAAAAGGATGGTTTATTATCTACTCATAAAATACACAGAATTTTAAAATCCTGAAATCCAATGAGGACAAAAGTTCAAAAAAATTACAAAATATTCCTATTTGCATCAGAGATACACAACAAACCTAAATATAACCTTAAAAGGCATTAAAAAAAAGCATTCTCTATTAGAAACCCGCTATCCTCATCACTAAAAACAAGATTTGTAAAGCAATACAAAGTTTTGACAATTTACTAATCACACTATGTGGTAAGATTTTTAATAAAAGCTTGGAAGACATCCTGTAAAAATATTGCTTCGGGTTAGTTTAAGGGTGGCCAAGAAGTGACCGGAGTGGTTAGGAACAAGTAAAGGAGATGAACTTGTCTGTCAATTTGTTGTCCTGAGGTGGCTTGCATGTTGTTATGAGGCTGGAGGCTATGCTACCAGTGCTGCAAATGCCAGGAGGGTTACCCATGGAGGACAGGCTTCTGCAGAGCTTCCATACTAAGGCAGACTTAGAAAAATGAAGAGGCCATCTACTTCTCAAAGAACTGGCCAGTGAAAACCTTATGAACAGCAGTGAAATACTGTCTGATATATTATTAGAAAACTTTATAAATAGCCCTGAAACACTGTCCAATAGAGTGCTGGAAGATGAGCTCATCAGGTCAGAGGGCACTCAAAATATAACTGAGGAAAAGATGACTGCTCAGAGTAAAGGTGACCTTAATGATATGGATGTAGTAAAGGTTTCGGGACCTCCATATGCTGATGTGACAGGATTCAGAATGAGAAGAAACCACTGCAAACATCCATTAATAATTGGAACATGGACTGTACGAAGCATGAATCTAAGAAAATTGGAAGTTGTCAAAAGTGAAATGGAATACATGAAGATCAATATCCTAGTCATCAGTGTGCCAAAAATGGCCTGGTTTTGGCCATTTTGAATCAGACAACCATATAATCTACTATGCCGGGAATGACAAATTGAAGAGGAATGGTGTGGCATTCACTGTCACAAAGACTGTTTCAAGATCTATCCTGAAGTATAATACTGTCAGTGATAGAGTAATATCTATACGCCTACAAAGAAGACCAGTTAAATACTACAATTATTCAAATTTATGCACCAACCACCAAAGTCTAAGATGAGGAAATTGAAGATTTTTATCAACTTCTGCAGTCTGAAATTGACCAAACATGCAATCAAGATGTGGTGATGGTCACTAGTGACTGCAATGCAAAAGCTGGAAACAAAGAAGAGTCACTGGTAGGTGGAAAATATGGCCTTGGTGACAATGGAGATCACATGACAGAATTTTGTAAGACCAATGACTTATTCATTGCAAATACCTTTTTTCAAAAACATTAACAGAGGCTATACATGTGGACTTCACTAGATGGAATACACAGGAATCATACTGAATACATCTGTGGCAAAAGGCGATGGAGAAGCTCAATATCTTCAGCCAAAACAAAAACAAGGCCAGGAGCTGATTGTGAAAAGACCATCAACTGCTCATACCCAAGAGTTAAAGCTGAAGTTGAAGACAATTAAAACAAGTCCACAAGAGCCAAAATATGACCTTGATAACATCCCTCCTGAATTTAGAGACCATATAAAGAAAGATTTGATGCATTAAACAGCAATGACTGAAAAACCAGAGGAATTGTGAGATGACATCAAGAGCATCATCCATGAAGCAAGCAAGAGGTCATTAACAAGACGAGAAAGGAAGGCCAGGAAGAGACTCTGAAACTTGACCTTGAGTAGAGTGGCTAAAGCAAATGGAAGAAATGACAAGACAAAAGAGCTGAACGGAAGATTTCAAAGAGCAGGTTGAGAAGACAAAGCCAATTATTATAATGAAATGTGCAAAGATCTGCAGTTAGAAAACCAAAAGGGAAGAACATGCTCGAGATTTCTCAAGCTGAAAGAACTCAAGGAAAAATTTAAGCTTTGAGTTGCAATACTAAAAGATTCTATGGGCAAAATGTTGAATGATGCAGGAGACATCAAAAGAAGATGGAGGGAATATACAGAGTCACTGTACCAAAAAGAATTGGTCGATGTTCATCCATTGCAGGAGGTGGCGTATGATCAAAAGCCAATGGTACTGAAGGAAGAAGTCAAGGCTGCACTGAAGGAACTGGTGAACTACCAGGCTCCAGGAATTGATGGAATATCCACTGAGATGTTTCAACAAATGGATGCTGCGCAAGAGGCACTTACTTGGCTATGCCAAGAGATTTAAAAGACAGCTAGCTGGCCAACTGACTGGAAGAGATCCATATCTGTACCCATTCCCAAGAAAGGTGATCCCATAGAATGTGGAAATTATCCAACAATGTCATTAATATTACATGCAAGTAAAATCTTACTGAAGATAATTCAAAAACGGTTGCAGCAGCATAATGACAGAGAACTTCCAGAAATGCAACCTGGATGCAGGAGAGGACGTGGACCAAGAGATATTATTGCTGATATCAGATGGATCTTGGCTGAAAGCAAAGAATACCAGAAAGATGTTTACTTATGTTTTACTGACTATGCAAAAGCATTCAATTGTGCAGATCATAAGAAATTATGAATAACGTTGAGAAGAATGGGAATTCCAGAACACTTAACTGTACTCATGAGGAACCTGTACATAGATCAGCAGGCTGTCGTTCAAACAGAACAGGGCGACACTGCATGGTTAAAAATCAGGAAGGGAGTGGGTCAGGGTTATATCCTTTCACCATACTTATTCAATTTGTATACAGAGCAAATAATCTGAGAAGCTGGATTATATGAGGAAGAATGTTGCATCAGAATTGGAGGAAGAGTCATTAATAACCTGCGATATGCAGACAACACAACTTTGCTTGGAGAAAGTGAGAATGACTGGAAGCACTTACTGATGAAGATTAAAGCCTACAGTCTGCAGTATGGTTTACACCTCAATATAAAGAAAACACAAATCCTCACAACTAAGCAGCATCACGATCAATGGAGAAAATACTGATGTTGTGAAGGACTTCATATTACTTGGTTCTACAGTCAATACCAATGGAAACAACAGTCAAAACATCAGAAGACGTATTGCACTGGACAAATCTGCTACAAAAGACCTCTTTCAGGTACTGAAGAGCAAAAATGCTTCTTTGAAGACTAAGGTGTGACTAACCCAAGCCATGGTATATTCAGTTGCCTCTTATGCATGTGAGAACTGTTACAATGAATAAGGAAGACCAAAGTAGAGTTGATGCTTTTGAGTTGTGGTGCTGGCGGAGAATACTGAGAGTACTGTGGACTGCTAAAAGAACTAACAAATCTGTCCTGGAAGAAGAGCAGCCAAAATGCTCCTTAGAAGCAAGGGTGGCCAGACTTCAGTTCACCTACTTTGGTCATATTGTCAGAAGGAACCGTTCACTGGAGAAGGATATCAAGCTTGGTAAAGGGTCAACGAAAAAGAGGAAGACCCTCAACAAGATGGATGGATACAGTGGCTACAACAATGGGCTCAGGTATAGCAAGGATCATGAGGCTGGCATCAAACCAGGCAGTGTTTCGTTCTGTTGTGCATAAGGTCGCTATGGGTTGGAGATGACTTGATGGCACCTAACAACAACAACTGAACACTAATTGATGTCAATGAACACTAACAACAACAATAACACCAACGGAAGCAGCAGTCAAGACATCAGATGACGTATTGCACTGGGCAAATCTGCTGTAAAAGACCTTTATCCCACCACTTGTCTATGAGTTTGTGGTACTGTGGTGGCCTGCATGTTGCTGTGATGCTGGAAGCTATGCCACTGGTATTTCAAACACCAGCAGGGTCACATGGTGGACAGGTTTCAGTGGAGCCTAGGAAGGAAGACATGGCGATCTAGTCTGAAAAAAACTGGCTAGCAAATTTTTTTTTTCAATTGTGATTTAGGTGAAAATTTACAACGCAAATTTACTTTCCATACAGCAATTCACATACACTTTGTCTCATGACATTGACTATGATTTACCACAATGCAATAGCTCCCCTCCCACTTCCTCCCGATAGTTACCTCTTCCCTGTGTCCATCCCTCCATGCACTCCTGCCCCCTGAGCTGTCTCCCTGTGCATAAATAGCCCTTCTTTCTCCCAAGACTGTTCTCTCCAAGATGTATCCACCTCAGGTAAATGTTCAACTCACATGCCTATCTTCTGTTTGGCTGGAAGCCACAGGTGTGGTTTCAATGCCAGACCTGAAGGACAGCTAGGGGCCATAGTCTCAGTGGTTCCACCAGGCTCTATCAGATCAGCAAACCTGGTCCCCTTAGCAAAAATGTTTTGAATAGCAACAGAACACTGTCTGATAAAATGACTAAAGATAAGCCTCTCAGATTGAAAGGCACTCAGAATATGACTAAGGAAGAACTGCCTCCTCAAAGTAGAACAGACCTTAATGATGAGGATGGAGTAAAGCTTTTGGTACCTCTTCTTGCTGATATGGCATGACTCAAAATGAGAAGAAACAGCTGCAAACGTCTATTAATAATTGGAACATAGAATGTACAAAATATCACCCTAGGAAAACTGGAAGTTGTCAAAAATGAAATGGAATGCTTAAAGATAGGTATCTTAGGCATCAGTGAGCTGAAATGGACTGGTACTGACATTTTGAATCAGATAATCATATGATCTACTATGTTGGGAATGAGAAATTGAAGAGGACTGTATCATATTCATTACAAAAAAGAACAATTCAAGATCTATCCTGAAGTATAACACTATCTGTGATAGGAACATATCTGTATGTCTACAAGGAAGACCAACTATTATTCAAATTTGTGCACCAGTCACTAATGCCAAAGATGAAGACATTAAAGATACTTACTAACTTCTGCAGTCTGAAATTTATCAAACGTACAATCGAGATGCACTGATAATTACTGGTGTCTGGAATGTGGAAGCTGGAAACAGAAGAAGGATCAGTAGTTGGAAAATATGGCCTTAGTGAAAGAAACAACAATGGAAATAACATGATAGAATTTTGTAAGACCAAAAACATTGACTGAAATTACCTTTTTCAACAATATAAAGGGTGACTACACAAGTGAACCTTGCCCAATGGAATACACAGGCATCAAACCAACTACATCTATGGAAGGAGATGTTAGAGAACTCAATATCATCAGTTAGAACAAGGCAAGAGACTGACTGCAGGACAGACCATCAATTGCTCATATGACGCAAGTTCAAGTTGGAGCTGAAGAAAATTAAAACAAGTCCACAAGAGCCAAAGTACAACCTTAAGTATATTTCACCTGAATTTAAAGACCATTTCAAGAATAGATTTGATGTCATTGAACACTAATGACCAAAGACAACACAAACTGTGGGACGAAATCAAGGATATCACACAAGAAGAAAGCAAAAGGTCATTAAATAAAAATACAAAATATAAAAGATAAGAAAGACAGACAAGATCAAAATGGATTACAGAAGACTATGAAACTTGTTCTTGAATGTAGAGTAGCAAAAGTAAATGGAAGAAATGAAGTGAAAGAGTTGAACAGACAATTCCAAAGGGCAGCTTGAGAAGATAAAGTAGAATATTCCATGAAAAGTGCAACAACCTGAAGTTAGAAAACAAAAGGGAAGAACTGCTCAGCATTCCTCAAGCTGAAGGACCTGAAGAAAAATTTAAGCCTCGGGTTGTAATACTGAAGAATTTTATGGGCAAAATACTGAATAATTCAGGAAGCATCAAAAGATGGAAGGAATGCACAGAGTCACTGTAACAAAAAGAATTGGTCAATGTGCAACCATTTCAAGAGATAGCCTATGGTCAAGAACTGATAGTACTGAAGGAAGTTCAACCTGCACTGAATGCACTGGCGAAAACAATGCTCCAAGAATTGACAGAATACCAACAGAAATGTTTCGACAAACAGATGCAATGCTGTAAGCAGTCACGTATCTATGCCAAGAAATTTGGAAGACAGCTACCTGGCTAAATGACTAGAAGAGATCCTTATCTGTGTCCATTCCAAAGAAAGATGATCTGACAGAATATAGAAATTACTGAACAATGTCATTGGTTTATATGCAAGTAAAATTTTACTGAGGATAATTAAAAAATGGTTGCAACAGTACATCTGACAGGGAAATGCCAGAAATTCAAGCCAGATTCAGAAGATGGAATGAAGGCTATCATGGCTAATGTCAGATTGAATCTTAACTGAAAGCAAAGAATATCAGAAAGGTGGTCGTATGTGTTTTATTTACTATGCAGAGCCATTCAACTGTGTGGATCTTAACAAATTAAGGATAACACAGCATAGAATGGGAATTCAGAACGCTTAATTGTATGCATGTGGAACTTGTACATAAATCAAGAAGCAGTCATTTGAATAGAACAGGATGACACTGCATGGTTAAAAACCAGGGAAGGTGTACATCAGGGTTGTATCATTTTACCATACTCATTCAATCTGTATGCTGAGCAAATAATCTGAGGAGCTCGACTATACGAAGAATGCAGCATTAATTAGACTAATTAACAACCTGTGATATGCAAATGATACAACCTTGCTTGTTGAAACTGATAAGGACTTGAAGAACTTACCTGATGACGATCAAAGACTAGAGTCTTCAGTATGGATTATACATCAACATAAAGAAAACAAAAGTCCTTATAACTACCAATAAGCAACATCATCCATGATAAATGGAGAAAACACTGAAGCTATCAAAGATTTCATTTTACTTGGACCCACAATCAATGCCCATGGAAGCAGCAATCAAGAAATCAATCAACATAATGAATTGGGTAAATGTGCAACAAAAGATCTCTTTATGATATTAAAAAGTAAGGACATCCCAAATCAAAATAAAATTAAAAAAAAAAAAAAAAAAAGTAAGGACATAACCTTGAGGACTAAGGTGTTCCTGACCCAAGCCATGGTCTTTTCAATTGCCTCCTATGCATGTGAAAGCTGAAGAATAAGGAAGACTGAAGAAAAATTGATGTTTCTTAATTACAGTGTTGGCAAAGAATATAAAATATACCATGGACTGCCAGAAGAACAAACAAATCTGTCTTGGAAGAAGTACACCCAGAATGCTTCTTAGAAGTAGGGATGGTAAGCCTTCATTTTATGTACTTTGGAGATGTTATCAAGAAGGACCAGTCCCTGGAGAAGGACATAATACTTGGTAAAACAGAGGGTCAGTGAAAAAGAGGAAGACCCTCAAAAAGATAGATTGATACTGTGTCTTCAACAATGGGCTCAAATATAGCAATGACTGTGAGGATGGTGTAGGACTGGGCAGTGTTTTGTTCTGTTGTATATAGGGTCACTGTGAGCCAGAACTGACTTGACAGCACCAAATAATAATAAGTTTTAGTAACATTCTAAAATAAAAAGCCCTAGTTATTAACAGCTTATTTTTTAAAAAAACATAATTTTAAAAATTTTAATTCCAGAGCTATACAATAATTCATGAAGAACCACTTCATTCTTGAAATAGAGATGAGATAAAGTTTGTTTTTTCCACAACTAGAAGTATTGGCAAACAGGTCTAGAGGTTAATTCTAAAAGGCCTAAGTATTTGTTGTTGTTGTTGTTGTTATGTGCCGTCGAGTGGGCCCCAACTCACAGGGACCCCTCCTTGGGTTTCCGAGGCAGTATCACTACGGAAGTAGGACTGCCCAACCTTCCTTCCGAGGAGTGGCTGGTGGGTTTGAACCGCCAGCCTTCTGGTTAGCAGTCAAGTACTTTAGCCACTATGCTACCAGAGCTCCTAGGCCTAAGTATGTTGTTGTTGTTATGTGCCGTCAAGTCGTACCCGACTCATAGCGATCCCTCCTTGGGTTTCCAAGGCAGTATCACTACGGAAGTAGATTGCCCCATCTTCCTTCCGAGGAGTGGCTGGTGGGTTTGAACCGCCAGCCTTCTGGTTAGCAGTCAAGTGCCTTAGCCACTATGCTACCAGAGCTCCTAAGTATAGGAAAGAAAAATAAAAATACCACTCTCTTGTAACAAGAATTACATACCCCCAAAACTTAAAAACATTTTTTAAAAATCCTATAGAAAATGAGCATCGTAAATGTGTAAAGACACACTGAGGTAGGAACTACATCCTAACATACCAGTATTAGCATCTGAAAAGAGAGATTTCACTTACACTCAAACTCTCCATTGTCTTTATTTATTATCTTCAGTGTTCAGGTAAAATATAAAAGACAAATGGAATTTTCAAATTTAATTTGGTCAGACTTTTAGAAATTCTTAAACTTCTTCAGCATAAAATGTTCTGGTTTGTTTTGCTATAATTGGCTTAGGGGCACATTAACTCTCTCCCACTGAATCAAAAACTGAGCATCCTACACATGAGGGAATATTGTCCCCAACTCCAGTCTCTACAATATTGCAGTTTGTACAGCTGGAATGTCAGAGAGTTGGGTATATGAAGTCATGTCAGTTAGAATGAACCATCCCACTTTTGGCTGAAGATCTAAATCACTGACACAGAGAAGCAGCCCCAATTTTCAGACATTCCAGTATGTTAAAGTATGTAGCCTCAGTTAGTCTGAGATTTTATTATTCCATAAAAAATATAAGAACATTCAATTCAACCCTCCAAAAACACCAATTGAATTATACCAAATACATACAATTTATTTCTGAAGCTGTCCGTTCAGCTCTGACATTCCTGTTTGTAGATCTAATGGTATGACGAATGATTGCATGGGGCTGTGAATATAAGCACAACACACACACATTAACAAATTTCAGTAATTAAGTTAAAAGGTCAAACTTTCTCTTTTTAATTAAATGATAATTTATTGACAAATATGATTATTTACTAATAAGTTATAAGAAACATAAATAAAACGAGTAAAGTAATTTATTCCATGTTTATACTATGCAAAATACTGAAGGGATGAAAAAACATGTCAGACAGGGATCTAGTTCTCAGAGAAGGAAGATGAGACACATACACAAACAGAGGAAAGTAAGTAAGTGCCATTAAGAAGATAAACTGATTACTCTTAAAGCCCAGATCAGGAGAATTACCTTTCACCTGAATGGGTACAGAAATTCTTCATGAAAGAATTCTAATGTGATCTTGGGCCCTAAAAGACAAATAGGCTTTGAATATATAAATATGTGGGAGAAGAATTCTAGATACCTCGAAGAATATGAACAAAGTGATGAAGAAAGAAAAAGAAATTGTGTTATGGGTTTCTACTTGGCTACAGTGATTAGGTGAAGAGATAATAGAAGATAGACTGGGGTAAGGTAGATTATGAAGGGCTCTAAATGCCAGGCTAGAGTTCTCAATTTTATTTCTTGGCAAAAAAAAAAAAGGAATTTTTGGGAGAAAAAAAAAAAAAAAAAAAAAAAAAAAACAACTTCTGGTTGATTTTTTCTATAGCCCTTCTATTTTCTGTGAACTGCTGTATGGAAAGTGAATTTGCTCTGTAAATTTTCACCCAAATCACAATTAAAAAAAAAAAAAAAAGGAATTTTTGGAGAATTTACAGCAAGGGAGGAGTATCAAAGAGGCAGGCTTTCCATGTAATCTGATAATTATATTAAGAGGACATAAACCAAACCAAACCCACTGCCACTGAGTTGATTCACACTCAAAGTGACCGCCACTGGGTTTCCAAGGCTGTAAATCTTTACAGAAGTAGATTGCCTCATCTTCCTCCCATGGAGCAGCTGGTGGGTTTGAACCGCTGACTTTCTGGTTAGCAGCCAAATGTCTTACCACTACACCATCAGAGCTCCTTTAAGAGTGCACAGAGGGGAGAAACACTGGATGTACGGAGATCAGGTAAGAATACTGTAGTAAGTCAAGCTAGAAGCTTACAACATCCATACTTCTACTCTGTTCTTCTGAAGCTCCTGTTCCTCTGAAGCTGTATCTTCAGCTCAACCTCTGTCTACCAAATTTCTGCTGATTCCCTCTCATTGATTGATGACTCTGAAAATGGCTTGTATTTTTTCCCTTCTAATTAAGGAACCATCACCACAGCAAAAGATTTCAAAGGCCCAGGTGGATGTACTATCCGTTGTTCTGGACTTAAATTCTATGACCTCACCTCTAAAGACATTCTTTCATATTTAAACAAACTCTCTCCACTCTTAAGATCACATCTTGGATCCTGTCATCAACTCACAAATTCACACTACACTCCAAATACCAGATCCTGTGAGTTTGCCAATACTCCCATTCTACATGGTTAATTCTCTCAGTGAAAATCTCAAGTCCATGAATACATATACTTTCTCATTTTCCATCAGCATCTCTTCTATCTTCACTTTTTTCCCTATCCAGTTTAGATCTGGTGGTCCCTAATTTCAAGAAATTTCTTGTCAAATCTTAACTTCCCTTTGCCCCACTCTCCTTCAATACAAGAGCATGGCAAAATGCTAACCATGGATGAACTCAACTACCTCTGTGCTCACATCTTAGCTATCAATCACTGCTGGAGGAAAATTACAAGGTAGTAAACACTGAAAACTCACCTCATCTGAGCCCTAAAGTTTGCCTACAGACACCTCCCTAGTCATTTTACCCATCCATTCTCTTCTACTACTATACCTTCTCCAGACTCTTTAAACCCACCCACTTTCCTTCACTTTCAGATGACCTTGCCACTTAATTCACAGAGAAAGTAGAAGTCATCAGATAGGACTTACTCAATATCTAGCTACAATTTCAATCATCCTTTCTAATGCCAGGGAAGAAGTCTAAAACCAAGTCCCTTAAAATACTCTCGATCCAAGTTTCTCCTTCCTTCTCAGGGACTTTGCCTACTTATTTTGCCTCTCTTGCATCATCTTTGGTAGTGTAGTGCCTAAGGCACTTGACTGCTAACCAGAAGGCTGGCAGTTCAAACCCACCAGCCACTCCTCTGAAGGAAGGTAGGGCAATCTACTTCCCTAGTGACACTGCCTTGGTAACCCAAGGAGGGGTCGCTATGAGTCAGGTCCGACTCAACGGCACATAACACCACCACCACCACCACCAATGAATCATCTATTTAATCTTTTTCACAAGCATTTAAGCCTGTTCAATATTTTGCTCCCCTAAAAAAAATGACTCTCTTTTCAACTCATTCTCCTCTACCTACTTACTGCTCTCTTCTACACTTCTCTTTCACAACCAAATTTCATAAACGAAGTACTACACTTACCTTTCAAAACTCTCTAATCCAGTTTCTCCTCCACTATTTGAAAATTACCCTTGTTAAAGTCATCAAACGACAACACTTAAACACAAAGACTACTTTAATTTCCAGGCAGTATCCTTGTTGAAACTCTCTTATTTCAGTGTTTCTTACCAATCTCTTTTGCCAATTCTTTTTCAACTTGAGCCCTATATTTTGGGAGAAATCTCAGGGTTCTGTCCTAGCCTTCTTGTTTTCTCATTCTACATGCTTCTCCTGGGTGATTTTTTACCCTTACAGCATCTACTACATTTGTATGCCATGACTCTCAAATCTATACCTCTAGTCTGAAATCTTCTCCCAAGCTGAAACTGTGTAGACAAATCCTTAATTCTCCAAAATATACAAAACCAAACTCATATTTCTTCTCAACCCTGATTTCATTCTACAGTTCCTATCTTAGTAAATGGTACTTTTATCTAACAGCTGCTCAAATCAGAAATCTGGTGGTAATTCTTTTCTAATCCTTCTCCCTCATATCTTCATCTAATCACCAGCTCTCAAATAATTCTTGAATTAGTTCACTTTTCTCCATCCTTTCTCTACCACTCTAATATAAACTACCACCATTTCTATCTTGGATAACCGCAAGAGTCTCTTAACAAGCTTCCCATTTTGTAGTCACAGACAGCTTTTTAAAAAAACGTAACTGATGACATCACTTCCTTTTCCTTTAACTCTTCCTCCTGTTCTCAGGCTTTTAAAAAAAGAAATTTTTTTTTTTGTGGTTGTTGAGAATATACACAGCAAAACATACACCAATTCAACAGTTTCTATATGCACCATTTAGTGACAATGATTACATTCTCTGAATTATGCAACCATTCTCATATTTTTGAATTGTTCCTCCACCATTAACACAAATTCACTGCTCCTTATGGTTCCTATCTAATCTTCCAAGTTGTTGGTGTCACTTTGATCCCATATAAATAGTTCTTCTTAAAATAGCATAATGCTCAAGGCAGACTTTTTTTTTCCTACTTAAGTTAAACTACTGTTTGGTTTTTAATATGACTTCAAGGGATATTTTTCATTTAAGGGCAAATTTCAAGAATTCATCCAGTTCATGACTCCATGAAATCTGGAGTCCATTAGAGTTTGAAACTGTTCTGCATCTCCTCTTTTTGATCAGAATTTTTCTACAGAATTTTTAATCAAATTCTTCAGTAATGGTAGGTGGGTACCATCCAGTTTTTCTGGTCTCAAGGCAAAGGAGGCAGTTGTCATAGAGGCACTTAGCCTTGTATTCCATATCCTCTTCCTATTCCTGACTCTCCCTCTTCCTTGGTTGCTCCAGGTGAACAAAGAATAATTGAGCCTTGGATGGCTACCTGCAAGCTTTGTGTGTGTGGCTTTCAACTGTGGTTTGGGTGAAAGTTTATAGAGCACATTAGTTTCTCATTCAATAATCTATTCTTATTTTGTTTTGTGACATTAGTGGCAATCTCACAATGAATCAGCATTCTTCTCACTTCCTTCTGGGTTCCCTGTTTCCATTAGTCCTTCTTTCCTACCCCTTCCTGCCTTCTGAACTTTTGTTTTTGGGCAAATGCTACCCTCTGGTCTCATATAGTTGATTGTTCTGAGGAGTATGTTCCCCATGGATGTTACTGTTCACTTTATAGACCTGTATTGTTTGGTTGTAGGTGATTCCTGAAGGTGTGTTCAGTTCCAGGTCTGAGAGGTATTGGAGTTATAGGCTCAAGAGTTCCACCAGTCTCTATCAGACCAGTAAGTTGGGTCTTTTTCACAAGGCAGAATTTTGTTCTACGTTTTTTTCCTACTCTGTCCAGGACCTTCTGTTGTGATCCTGATCAGTGTGTAATTCTTCTGTTTTTAGGTTAGTGGAGACTAATGTTTTCCTGAGTCTTCAATACTCTTTACCCTTCTTTGCTCCAGATGGGGAGAGACTGCATCTTAGAAGGCTGATCATCAGCTTTTAAGACTTCAATCACTATTCACCAAAGTAGAACGTAGAACATTGTCTTTATGAAGTATGTTATGCCAACTGGCCTAGATGTCCCAAGACAACAGCCCTAAGCCCCCAAGTCCATTGACTCAGTCCTTCAAGGTGTTTGGTTATGGCTAAGTTTTCATACCTCTGTACCCTGTATGTTCTACTATGTACACAGATACATTTGCAGCATGCACAAATACATATGTAGAAAATTTCTGCCAAAACTATCTATCTTACAGGTATACTCTCATATACCATCTCATACCTGTTGAGCTCATGTATCTACATGTGTATCCATTCATAAATTGTTATTACTGTTACTGCAGGATGGTGTATGTGATAGTATTTACCATTGCTGTTTCTCTCTCTTATATACCTCCTAGTGTTTTCCTCTGAATTGGTCATGTTGTGCTGACCTCCCCCTTACTGTATATTGCCTTTTCTATCATCCAAGTTAATACATGTCTATTCTTTACTTATTTTCCCTCCCTCCCACTTCTATGCCTGGTGACCATCAAAGAACGTTTCTTTCTGTGTGTAAACCTTTTCTTGAC